CGCGGTAGAATGCCCTCCGACGGAAGCCTCTTCAACAGCGCGCACAGCTCGTTCAACGAACTCATGACGCCGTCGCCACACACCCCGATCATGTCGTCGGACTCGCCGTCCGCATTCCGCCCGTCGATACCGGCAATTAGGAAAAGCCTTTTCGCGGAGCTTGGGCAGAGTCCTAGTATGATGATGTCCCCTGGTGGTTACGACACGGAGCCAGACGAGACGGTGATCGGAACGCCGGTGAGGGGGAAGGCAACGTACTCCCGCCTAGAACCTCCAAGGGCACTCATGGTCGATGTGGGCGTTATGACGGAAGTACCGTATCCGGAGACCCCGTTGTTGCTGCTCGAGGAGAGAGAGGAGGAGGAAAGACCACACACGGCTACAACGGTCGCGTCGGATGCAACAACGCTGCTGCATGAACCGTTGGCGATAAAAACGAGCGCCACTCCGCCGTCGACACCACCTGTGAAGAAGGCAGCCATGGCGGCGATGGAGACGCAGACGGAGATGCTGTCCTCAGATGTTGGCGTGCAGAGTGAGGAGCCTGTGAAACCGGAACTAAGGGATGTGGCGACGATGTATTCCCCCAATGTGGTCGAGATGGCGACGCAGTCCGACGAAGAAGCGAAGGCGAGCGTCGAGGATAAGGCCACGATGCACACACCGCAACTTAGCGAGATGGGGACACAGTCGGAGGAGGTGAAGAAGGAAGAGATCGAGAGGGGGACGCAGTCCGAGGAGGAGGAGGTGAAGAAGGTGCGGGTGGAGAAGGGAACACAGATGGAGATGGAGATTGTTGATGAACCCCCAAAACTGCAGATGCTGGAGGTCGGAACACAGTATGATGCCGACTGGGAATCGCAGTGGGTTCTCGCGCCATCGGGGTCGCATCTGGGGGCTACAACGGCGGCGGCGGCGGGAGTTGGCGCGATTGGTGCAGTTGGTGTGATTGCTGCCATGGCCAAGATTACATCCCCAGCGAAACCGGAGAAGGAGCAGGTCAAGGAAATCACCCAAGATAGGCCCGAGAAGAAGACTCAGCCCGTAGAGAGGAGGGAAATTCATACGCAGACCGACGACAAAGACAACGGCAAGGAGGAGGTGGTCACGGCGCCTACACAACCCCCGAAACTGCCCCCCAGCACGATTGTTCATGGGAGGATAGCGCAGGAGACGGTGCCCGAGGAGACACGGATGGATGTGGAGAGGAGTGCGCTGGTGTTTTTGGGTACGACGATGGATATCATACCCGAGGAGCCAGTAATTCCGGAGACGGCCTTGGAGATGGCGAGCATTCGGGAGGTCGAGTCGATGCCGATGGTTGAGGATACTGTACAGGAGAGGATGGAGGTTTCGCGGATCAGGGAAGTTGAGGCTGCGCCGGTTGCTGAGGTGAGGGTTCCGGAAGTTCCACTGGGGGTCTCACGGATCCGGGAAGTCGCTTCAGAGCCGGTTAATGCTTCTGAGACCCCACTGGACGTTTCGGAGATTCGCGAGATTGCCACGGAGCCAGAGGAGACCAAGGAAGCGAGCTCGATGATTCCAGTGCCGCTGCCGGTTGTGCTTAATTCTGGTGAGGAGACAGTGTCACTGGATTCAGATGCCGAGGTTGCGCCGGAGAAGAAGAGCTTTTTCTCGTCGCTGTTTGGCGCCAGTAAACCGGCGTCTGTCAAGGAGCGGAGATCACGGTCTAGGACGCCGTCGATTGCGTCTATTACTTCCTCGCAATCAAGGGCTTCATCGGTCGTCCGCGCGCCGCAGATTCAGGAGCTGGAGGATGGCGAGGAAACGATTCGACGGAAAGATATTCAACGATCACGCCCGCCGATTCCGGTTGCGCTTGTTGACCAGATGATGCAGACGGAGATTTCATCAGACTATGTCGACCAGCTCGAAAAGGAGATTGAGCAGACGAAGAAGGCCTTGGTGATTGCTACTGCGGTGGAGGTTCAGGCACCGAGCTTGAGTTCCAGGCCTTCACAGGAAAGTATGGGCCGCACGAGAAGCAGGAATAGCGCGGATGCCACCGTTCGCCAACTTGGAGCTGGAGCTGCTCGACCTCCTGGAAGCTCATCCAGCATGCGTGGAGCTCTCCCCTCATTTGAGACTCCGGCAAAGAACACCATGGGCCCTCCGCCCCTCCCGACCTCCTACCGCAGCGCCTCCACCACCTACACCCGTCCCCGCACCCCTCACACCCAGCAGGACGCAACCACAACCATCCGCTCTCTCCGCCCTGAAACTCCCTCCCGCGGCGGTGCCACCCCCCGCCCACCCCGCTTCTCCTCCCTCCGCTCCTCCACGCACTCCTCCCGGCGCTCTTCCCTCTCCTCCTTCGCCTCCGAACTCGACACCCGCTTCAACCTCGACCCTCCGACCCTCTTCGCCTCCCGCCAACCAACCTCCACCGACCCGCGCGTAATCCAAGCAATAACCCAAACCATGATCGGAGAATACCTCTGGAAATACGTGCGCGCCCCCGGCCGCAAAGACCTCTCCTCTACCCGCCACCGCCGCTTCTTCTGGGTGCACCCTTACACGCGCACTCTCTACTGGTCCGACCGCGATCCACAGACGGCCGGGCGAACAGAACTCCGCGCGAAATCTGTTGCCATAGAGGCCGTCAAGGTCGTTACAGACGATAACCCAATGCCCCCCGGCCTCCACCGCCGTAGCATCGTCGTCGTCACGCCCGGCCGAGTCATCAAATTCACCGCCCCGACAGGAGCAAGACACGAAATGTGGTTCTCGGCGCTATCCTACCTTCTTCTCCGCACGGGGGAGAGAGCGGGCGACGACTCCATCGGCGCCGCTGCTACGGATCTCGACGAAGATGCGGTGTCGTCGACTTCAACCTCCCCACAACACTACATGGCCCGTTCTTCCGGCTCGCACACCCCCACGCTGCACACGACCCCGACGGCATCGGGGATTGGAGGGGGTGTGTATAACCCGCGCGCGACGATGAGGGCTGCGTCGGCGTCATTTACGTCTCAGTCTCAGTCTCAGGCGGGATATACGACTCCAAGCCGCAACAACAGCAGCCTTTCCAACCGCCGACCCGGAGAACCAGGGAGCGGGAGTGCAAGCAAGGGGACTGTGGGGATGGGGATGGCGAGGTTGAGTAGTATATGGCGCAGCGCGAGCGCGGGCGGGAGTTATGCCGACACTGAAACCGAAGGCGAGGGGGATGGTGGGTGGGAGAATTCGGAGCATCATCATCACCACCATCATCATGGAGGGTTAGAGGGAGTCGAGAATGTGAGAGCCTGCTGCGACGGTACGTTTTTTTTCTATTCCCTATTCCCGTTACTTCCCTGCCCCTAATCTTTCGAGCGCGTTCTGTGTGCTTGAGGAATGAATGAGGCTGACATCTTGATGGCGGGATAAAACAGGCCGACACGACGTATCAAACCTGAGCCGTCGCGGTGGGAGAAGATCAGTGAACTCGTATCGCAGCGGCAGGAGGAGCGCGCAGTCGCAGGTTAATGCGGGTGGTGTTGTGAGGGACGCGAGGGACCCGAGGGAGGCGTTGTCATAGGATGATGATGCTGGGGTTTGGGTGACGGAGGAGGCGAGTGAGGAGGAAGAGGGGGAGGGGAAGTGATGAGGTGGTGGTTACGGTGGGGGTGATGACGATGAGGATGGTGATGAGAATGGCGGAGATGCGATGAAGATGAAGATGAAGATGTCGACGAAGGTTGAAGACGGGGTTACTGACTTACTGACTTACTACTACGTTTTCTTTTCCGATTACTTTTCCTATTACCTTTCCTACACATTCTGATTACTTTCCTATTAGTTCTATTAGTACGTTTTTTCTATTACATTTCTGATTATTGCTACTATTACTACCATCGTTACGCGTTTTTCTTTTCTTTTCTTTTGTAATCTTGAGTCCGAGTTGTTTGTGGTTTGTGGTTTCGTGCTGTTTATGTTGGCGCGCGGCTTCTCGTTTGTTTTCTGTGGTTACTATAGCTCTACATCTATTATATAGTAGTTAGTTCTACTTGTACTCGTACTTGTTCTCGTTCGGTTTCTGGATTGTGAGTTCTGGCGTGGAGTCGAGTGCAGTATGGACGGGTAGGGTATATTATTGTGTTACTGTGTTGTCTGTAGTTGGTTTGTAGTTAGTTGGTGCTAGTACGTTTTATATGGGACAAGATGCGAGTCACACTTGAAACATTGAAATTGGTAATGCTGTGCCAATGAGTAGCATTAAATATGCAGCGTCAAGTTATTCCTCAGCATCATCGTTCATCAGCGTCGTCCGAGTCCCGAGCATTATGTAGAGCTGAGTATATATGTATACACTACGTTATTTCACTATATATATACCTTAGTTACTGTTATCCGAGTCTATGCTGCGTCACGCTTCATTCCTTGCTTCATTCGACCCGATCCGATCCGCTTTACATCACTCCCCATCACCATCCCCCGCGCCGCCAGGCCGCCATGGCTGAAGCTGCCATGAGCCCGTGGCGTGGAGTAACTATCATGTTTTGGCGTTGGAATCCGACTCGAGCCCGATCGGAGTCTATAGTATGGTACCGCACACACACTCTCTCTCTCTCACTGCAGACTCGGACTCAGTATACTATACTGTACTGTACTGTACTGTAGTAGTTACTCTCGATCGCTACACGACTCGGATATGATCCATCACGGTTCAGGTCGAGGTCGAGGTTGCGGGTTGAGGGGTGAGGTGGAGATGTAAGGATGATTCGGGCTCGCGGGATACGTGATGCGGATACCAGTGACCATCCATGTTCACCCCGTCTCGCACTTTTGGGGACTTCGAGGGCTTTTATTCCAGTTCAGCGTGACGCAAATGTATCTAACATCATTACGCCAGTGAGGCGACTCGGGCGGGAACAAACGTCAATCAAGAATCAACAAGAAGCTAAGCGCGGGATGAAAAAATGAACGATGGATGGGAGAAAGGAAGGACGGAAAAAGAGGAAGAATGGGAAAGAAAAGGATGAACAAAAAAATGATCAGGCTCGATCCCGGGTTTGAACCGGGGACCTCTCGCAAACCGTATTGTGTACCGGACTTAAGGTGCGACCCTAAGCGAGAATCATACCACTAGACCAACCGAGCTGATGTTGTCGGTGTGAAGATTAAAGTTATATGAGGAGAGGTGGTGATGCAAGAGGCGATGGCAATGCGAAAGCACCAGGGCCAGACAGGATGACGTTCAACATATTACGCATGGTGTGGGAATGGGGCTCGACGAGAATCACAGCACTCACCCAAGCTTGCTTTGAGGTTGGGTACCATCCAAAAACATTGAAAAGCGCCAGAAGGATCGTACTCCGGAAACCGGGAAAACCTGCCTACATGGTAGAGAAAGCATACCGCGTAATCTCCCTTCTCAACTGCTTAGGCAAGGTTGTGGAGAAAATCGCAGCATACTTAATATCAGAGCACTGCGAAACGGCCAACAGCGAAGGTCTCCACCTCAATCAAATGGGCAGCCGGAGAAGAAGATCGGCAGTAGACGCGGTAGCAATCGCAATGCAGAGAATCCAACAAGGGTGGGAACAGAACATGACAACGGCAATGCTCCTGATGGATGTAAAGGGAGCCTTCGACCACGTTGCGAGAAACCGACTCCTGGCCCGAATGACCCAACTTAGGGTAGATGCGGGCCTAGTAAAATGGACGTCAAGCTTCCTTGAAGACCGCCAGATACGGATGGTCATCGACGGCTATGATATGGAAGATCACCCTGTACGAACGGGGATACCACAGGGGTCGCCAGTCTCGCGGATTCTATTCGCCATATACTTGAGCGGAATATTTGCGGAGGTTGAAAGGAAGGGCAAGGTCACAGCAATATCATACGCGGATGACATAGCTTGGATAGCGACAGACAAGGATGAAGAAAAGGCTTCCAAACGCCTTGAGGAAGCAGCGCGTTGTGCAGAAGAATGGGCCTCTCGAAACGCCGTAGAATTCGATTTGGCAAAAACGGAAGCAATACTATTCTCCCGCCAAAACGACAAGAAGTTCCGAGGAGCCATGGAAAGATACCGCATCCGAGTAGGAGGGGTAGAAGTCCCTTTCAACCGTACAGCCACGCGATGGCTAGGTATCTGGATCGATAGCCATTTGAAACTCCGCGAACACCACAATACGTGCATGAAGAAAGCAAAAGCGGCAGAAACCAGAATCCGCAGACTCACGTCTACTCAAGAACTCAACCCGGAGAGCGTGAAGAAAATACAGATCGCTGTGGTTCAGGCAATTATGTTATATGGCTCAGAGTTATGGTGGGGCATGAAGCCCAATGACTCACGAGTATACGACATACAAAAACTGATCAACAAGCAAGCTCGAGCAATCACAGGCGCTCTCCGAATGACACCAATAGGGCCGTTGATATCAGTAGCGGGGCTAAGGTCAGCGCAGTACTTGCTCAACCGACAACAACGGAGATACGCATCACGGATCCTCGGGCTTCCGTTCAACAATCCAACGAGGTTCATCATACCACCGGACGGTACGCGCTGGAATATGGGAAAGAAACCCCCACCAACACGCTCAGAGTCTTTTCAGACTCACAAGTAGCGCTGAGAAGGATCCTAACGCAAGATCTGAGCCCGGGTTCGAATGTAACTGAAGACATCAGGAAACACCACCGAAAACTGAAAGAAGCGGGAATCGACACCCACTTCCACTGGGTCCTAGGGCACCACGGGATCGAGGGAAATGAAGTTGCCGACGCTGCGGCGAAGGAAGCCACCAGGCAAAGTCAACACCGAGATGCAAACCGCTTCGGAGCAACGTCAATCAACCACGTGGCCCGGAGTCTGAAAAAGAAATCCGAAGACGAAGAGAGAGAGTGGGTGGCCAAAACATGCGGAAAATACTACCCCTATAGATTCAAGCTCCCCCGCACTCGAAAGCCAGATCCAACAGCAATGAAGGCCTGCAAAAGCCTGGCGAGTAGATACTTCAGATTCGCCACAGACAAAGGATTGACCGCAGAATACTTGAAACCAATAGGGAGACCCACAGGCGACGAATATTGGTGGTGCGGAGAACCTCGACAAAACCGAGAACACCTCTTTAAAGACTGCAGACACTGGAGAAGGCAACAAGAGAAGCTGTGGAAAGACCTAAAGCAGGTCGGCCTGACGAAAAGGCACGCACTCTCTACTATTTTCGCGGAACGGAGGGCTATAGCGGCGATTCTGAATTACCTGGAAACGACAAATGTGGGGAAGGTGCAGAATGACTCAGAAACGAGAGAGGAAGAAAAGAGGAGGGCGGAGGAGTGGGGGTGGGAGCAGCACGAAGAGGGAGAAGCTGGAACGGAAGAAGGAGGGGAGTAGGAGGCGTCGAAAGCGGAGAGCGGTGAGAACGGAGAGTGGAGAGAGCGGAGTGCGGAGGGGAGGAGGGGAGGTGACACACACAATAACGAAAAGGAAGAGGAGAGAACGTGCCTAGCAGCTAGCTAGCACAACTCAAAAGGCGGCCATCGCAAGCGCGAAGGGTCGGCGAGAAATAGGGTTGACAGTGGACGAATCAATGCATCTAGAACAGAGAAGGAAACGAATCAACGGGGAGGGGGTGAGGAAGAAGAGTGTATGTAGTTGGTCGCGCCATATCCCAACGGGACGCATGCGCTAAAATGAATTCAATCAATCAATCAATGATGGCGATGGGGGTGGGGAGTTGTGTGAGGGGCGGGGAGGTTGAGAGGTTGATACTACTTGATAGTGCAGTTGGTGCTGGGAGAGGGAGACTGCGCGAGGCTATTGGGATTGCCAGTGAATAATGGGCCTGCATCATTCGCGGACATGCTGTCGGCTTCATCGAATTTACATCATTCCGGTGCGGTGTCAATTCTCGTTATCAGTACTACACATAACCCGACGTAGGGCTTTATACCACACATCCCCTCGTCAAATAAGACGTCTCAGCAGCGCATTAATCCCGGTGAGATTGACATCTCCCCATCACGCCTTAAGCTTAAACTCACTGCAAGGCGTTAAACCGCATACACCACGTCTCCCCTCCCCACCCTCCGAGACACCTTCTCCTCTCATGTAGATATAAGTGTTGACGAGATCAACAATGCGCACAACATGAATGCCTCGCTGTCATCCGTTTGTGATTTCCCTCGCACGAGGATGTCGGGGTGTCGAAGAGAGTGGGTCTTTATGGCTTTACGCCAGCATTAACCCCACAAGGCGGTGAGTGACAGCAGAAATTCCAGGGAGTTGGGGTGTACTAGATGCCTTTCGACGGAATGTAAAACCCGGGAGCTGAGTGGATGGTGTCGGAGTGAGGCTGTATCGAGTGATCGTATAGCGCGAATTTATATGTGATTCGGTATTTTAGCACATCCGTGACAAATGAGGAAAAGAAGCACGGCTCTAATTCCTGACCTCAGAGTCCTCAGTACATTAATCATGCCTCGTATCACTCATGTCGACCATCAGCAGCCCCATCCCGTGCTCTGATTTAAAGCACCCGTTTATACCTCCCTCTATTTCCCCTGGACCTCTACAGTTTCCATCTGGTGAGTACAGAGAACAGGAGAGGAAGATGGTTATATGGAGGGGGGACATCTGAGAGCCACGGAGGTTATAGAATTGTGGGTTCATGGCTTTAGGACAAGCGAGAGATGGTCATGGCAGTGGAAGTTCACAAGTCTGTGAGTGACATGATGGGGAGAAAAAAAGAGAGTATCAGAGGAGAGGCTTACGGAGTATATAACCCCCTCCTCCAGATAAGGTTTGGAGCTAATCAGCAATCGTATCAGCGCCCCACCGCCGAGTATCAACCAGCCTCCTGATCATCGAATCCCAGAAAACCAAGCAAGAGAAGTATCAACCCAACCCTCTAGACCATCACCATCATCAGCATCAGCATCAGCATGTTCCGCTCCACCCTACTTCTTAGCGTTGTTGCATTGGTGGCTATGAATGGCATCCTCATCCACGCTGAGAACATCCCGAAACCCCGATCGTTGGGGCTCCGGCCAAAAAATGGAGTACGACTCGCTCGAAGAAATGATCAACTCGTTCTGCGACAGCCACCACGACCAACGCGCAAAGCATTTTCATCCCATCGAAGCGAAAATCGACCACCCCAATGATCCAAAAACTTATGTTAAACGTGAGTCTCCCTGAGCTCTCTCGGTATACTCTGGATACGGCTAATACGAGAATACTATACATAGTGGCGTATGAAGCAGCCCCCAATGTAGATGAGAAGGATGGGTTTAGGCTCGATAAGGAGGTGTAAGTACTCTCATCTATATATTACTCTGCCAGCGCGTTGAAGAGGGATGAAGAGTGCTGATGAAGAGATACGATATAGCTGTAAGAGGGCTATGAAGGAAATTATGGTGGTGTGTACAAAGGATAAAAAGACACATAACGGCTGGATTAAGCTGGATCCGGATGCAAAGTAGTGATATAGTGGATTCGAGAGGTAGTGGTGTGTGTTAACGAAGGAAGTACGCAAGAATGGATTTTTAATACTGAGAGCTAAAACATCTACATAGGTATAAAAGGGTAATGAAGCAGCTAAAGGCAACTTGCAGAAAATACTCCTCCGGCAACGTGACGTTGGCATACGGTGGGGTGATGAAAGCGGGTAACCTGAAGTATTCTCTGAACCCGAAATAACGCGGTTGAGAGTAATTACATTTGTCTTACTATATTTTGGAGAGTTGCTTCTGGCTATAGTAAGAATGCAATTTATGAGGTTCAGATGAGGCCGACTTTATGGGGAATGAGGTGGATCAAAATGTGGTCCATGTGAGTCAAGATGTCAGTTAATCCGCCGCTTTCAACTCCACAACATTAATACGTACCCTTGCTGCCCATCTACTGCTGTCCTCGTAGCTCTTCTCCTTCAGAACCGTGACGTGGCTCCCCGTCCCATAGCTCCGCTCTCTGTCGCCCTGTCAGACAGCTCGTCTCCGTCTGGTAACTCCGTTACCTGCTCATGGACTCCTCCCTACAGGTCTCATCTCCGAGACCCCCTCCGGCCGCATCTTCTCGTCCTTTCTCGCCGTCTAGGCTCTCTTTAACAACTCACACAACCCCAACAACCCTTCTCCTCCAGTAATCCGCACC